CCCTCTCTCTCTTATCTCTCACTTCTTTCACTCTCTCTGTCTCTCTCTCTCACACACTCACAAAACACACAGCGCACATTCAGCACTGGTGGCACTTTACAGCCTCTCTCATATATATACAAACAATACCAGCGCCAACCTCAGCTCTGCGGGTTTATTACAACATCACACACACACACACACACACATCTGCACATAAAGCACTCTGCTCAACACTCGGGGCACATTAGAATCTCTCTCTCTCACACACACACAGAAAACACTGTGTCATTCTCAGCAATGGGACACATTGAAGCCTCTTTCACACATACACACCGATATACCTACACATCACCACCGTTAGCACTGGCGGCACAGTACATTCGCTCTCTCTCTTCTTCTCTCCCGCACACACATAGTGCCACCCTCAGCACGAGTTGCACATCAGATCGTCTCTCACAAATACACACAGGCTCCCATATGCAGCGCAAACCTGATCACTGGCGACACATTACACGCACTTTCGCTCTCCCTCTGTCTCTCTCTCTCTATTTATAATAATAATAACAATCCTTGCATTTGATATAGCGCTTTTCACGTCGTGAGGACGTCTCGAAGCGCTTCACAGGACACACTGTAAAGTGAACTGACTGGAAATTTCTCTCTCACACACACACTCAGTAAACACAGTGCCATTCCCAGCACTGGGGGCATATTACAGCTTGACACACAAACAGCGCTATCCTCAGCACTGGGGGCACACTGCCGGCAGTCTCACACAATCACACACACAGTCACATAACGACATAGTCAGCACTTGGTTCAGATTATTTTCTCTATCACACAAAGGGAAGCCTCAGCACTGGGGGCATATTCCAGCTTGACACACACACACACACTCCCAGCGCCACCCTCAGCACTGCTGGCACATTATATCCTCTCTCTCTCACACACATATATATATATCTGGATACATATATACGCATCCATCCATCCATCCATCCATCCATCCATCCATACATACATACATACATACATACATGCCAAAGTATAGCGCCACCAGCAGACTGGGGCACTTTACAGCATCACTCTCACGCACAAAGCAATACGGTAAGAATGGGATCACATTGGAGCCTCACTCACAAATCGAAACATACACACACAAACACACACACTCCTGTAGGTCAGTGGTTAGAGCGCTCGCTTTGCAAACGAGAGACCTGAGTTCAATTCCAGGCAGAGGGCGAAACCTTGGGCAAGTTTCCCTTCTCCACACGCCTAATAATAATCCCTCTAAAAACCATATCAATAATAAATTGGTCATTTTCAATCTACGACTGTTTGTGGGACATTGCTGTGTGCAATTGCCTGCTGCGTTCGCCCACAAATATACAGTAAATTCACTTTACAGTGTGTTCTGTGAAGCGCTTAGGGACGTCCTCCCGACTTGAAAAGCGCTATATCAAAGGCAAGGATTATTATTATTATTATTATAGGGAACTGAGAATGTGTGCTGCACAGTGTTTCAGACTGTGAGAGAGTGTATGAGATACACAGTGTGTGAGAGAGAGACAGAATATGAGCAATGTGACCATACGATTCCACATGAATTACATTAATTTGCACAAATAGCTGGACTCTCAAAGTGAAAGGAACTACGCGAATGTAATTTGTATTATATTGTATTAAACTTGCAGCTTGAAAGATAGAAATGTTGGCTACGTAATCGGTTAAGCGGGATGTTGCAGATTGAACACTGGCTTCCTTAACTGATTAAAATGGTCTCAAAAGCCGTCAATACAGCAGGCCTGGGAAGTCTCCATTCAGCGAATATTGTTTATCGTGGAGCTGTGAGACAAGTCAGGATTTTAACTGATTAAAATGGGGGCACATTACAGATTCTGACACAAGCAGCGCCATGCTCAGTACCGCGGACATATTACAGCCTCATTCACACACACAAATGCAAACACACAAACACACAGCTCTAACCTCAGCACTGGAGACACATTGCAGACGCTCTCACACACATACTTACACACGTACACACAGCACGGCATCCAAACCAACCCTGAGCGTCCGTTTGCCAAATAAACTCGCTTTGTACGTCAGGGCTATACAACACTGAACACAATTGAGTTAAGGACATCAATGGCATCTGAAATTCTGATATCCACTCAGACTATTCAAAATTATTTCTGTGTTATGGATTTCTTTCGTCCACCCAAAGAGCCTTGTTCAGATTCGTTAAATAAAGGGAAACGGTAATTGTAAACACTGTTTAGTTTGTGAAGTTGTGGCGAACTGACACAAATTTCCTTGTGAATAGATTTTTTTCATACAATTTAAGAAATCTTATCCATAATCCAAGTTATACATTTCACCAAATCAAATGAATGAATTCGTATGACGGTTTCGTAATCAAGTTATTTCTTACGATGGGTTAGTAATGTTCACTGCAATTGATTGATAGGATTAATACAGTGGTTTGATGTCGGAATCGCTTGGGTACATTTCCCATCAGCTGGTTGTCATTCACAGCTCAGTTGACCAATTTAAGCGTTATTTAAATTGAATTGAAATCGATTTCCAGCCAGGTGTGGCCTCACCTTTCTGGCTGCCAAGAGCCGGAATTATACTCTCCTGACACGAGAAACGTCGACTTCGCAACAGATTTGTGTTTTCTTTCGTGAAACACAGCAATTACAAAGAGATATTTTCACAATTGAAGGACACACTGAAAGCCCCCTTCCGTGTCGCAGATTTTTATCAATAATAATAATGATAATCCTTGCATTTGATATAGCGCTTTTCACGTCGGGAGGACGTCCCAAAGCGCTTCACAGAGCACACTCTAACGTGTATTGACTGTATACTTGTGGGAGAACGCGGCAGTCAATTGCGCACAGCAATGTCGCACAAACAATCGTAGGTTGAAAATGACCAATTTATTATGGTTTTAGGTTTTGGAAGGATTATTATTAGACGTGTGGAGTAAGGAAACTTGCTCAAGGTTTCGCCCTGCCTGGAATTTAACCCAAGGCTCTCGCTTTCAAAGCGAGTACTCTAACCACTGAGCTACAGGACTCCACATATAAATTAACTTTATTTTCCAAGCTTTATTTTTAATATTTTCAGCAGCAATGAGATGAGGTCAGAGAGGTCGGGGGGAGCAGAGGAGGGTAGGGATTTTAAACACAAGGGTGAGTAACTTGAAGTTGATCCTCTCTGGGATAGGCAGCCAGTGCAATCTGTCCAGGACTGCGGTGATCGGGGAACAGAGTTTGGTGCGGGTGGGAATGCGGGCGGCATAGTGCTGAATGATTTGGATTTTATGGATGGTAGTGGAGGGGAGAGCGGTGAGGAGCGCATTAGAGCAGTGCAGCCGAGAGCTGACAAAGGCATAGACCAGTGTTTCAGCGGCTTTTGGAGAGAGGTATTTGCAGAGTCGTGCGATGCGTCGGAGGTGGAAGAAGGCGGTGCTGGTGAGGGACTGAATGTGGGGGAAGAAGGCTAAGTGAAGGGCTAACCTCACGCCGAGTTTACGTATCGGAGAGTTTTAGGGGGACGTCGGGTATGTTGAAGAGTTGAGAGCCGTGAGATTTTAGACGTTGTCGAGAGCCAAACTTTGTGCCTTCCGTCTTGTCGACGTTCAGCTGAAGCAAATTTGCGCTCATCCTGCCCTTGAGATCTTACAGGCAGCTGGCAGAACAGTAGGGGACTGGGGGTCGCAAAGAGCAGTGGAAAAATGGAGAAGGTTGTCGTCTGCATACATATGGAAGTGTACCCCATGACTGCGGACGATATCCCCAAGAGGGAGCATAATTGTCAGAAAGGAGAGGGGGCCAAGGATGGACACTTGGTGTACCTCGCAGGTGACCGGTTAAGGGCGGGAGGAGAAGCCCTATACTGCCTTTTTCAGGGAACTATCCAATTATTACGACTCCCCGCCCTTACCCCAAGGGCCTGCACATATTTTTTTTGAGTACCTTTCCATTAATTTACAATAATTAGCAATGGAGCAAGCGGTAGATGAGGAGATTTGCTTTACACAGTTATTCGAATGTCAAATGCCATTCCATGCGTCTTGGTCACAGTATGAACCATGTGAGCTCTCAGGAGGCACCGATATGAGTATCAGCAAATACATAGCATTCAGTGGTCTGCGAAAAACACGTAAATCGGTTTTACTTTTAAGTTCACGGTGATGAATGGCTTGCGTCTTCACTATAAACCTATAAGTCCCTATGGTGGCTCTTTGGGGAGTAAAGAGATACATTCGCAAACGTTTCTGTACTTCCTACCTGCCAATAGCATTTCTATACATGTGGCACAATTTGAAGGTCAACACTGTGAGCCATATTCTTTGCTATACATGTCTGTATTATTTGTATCACGACACAGTTAATAACAGACTATGTGTGCCACGCTCTCAACTATTATTTTGTCAATTATTTTGTTTATTCCATCATTGTAATCCATATATTTGGTCAATAAGTACCTGCAGAATATAAGCCCTATTTATTGTGCACGTTCGACAAATAGATGACGCATTGCATGTGATATTATAAACTTCATTTACTATTCAAAACCTTCTTCATATTTGTATTTGCATCTGCATTTTCTACACATTTGGTTTGGAATATATTGTGAGGTAAATATAACAAAAAGGGAATGCTTAGAGGGGGAACTGCTGCTTGTATTCGGCCTGGAACTAACTTAGAGGGAATTGGTGTAAAGCTCGAAGAATTTATAAAAAAGCACAAAACTCTGTTCATATGATCGAAACATTAGATAACAGGCCACGTGCTCTCCAAAATGTGATTGATGAGAATCGACCACATTCTGTCCATTTACAGAAATCCTCTGATATGCAAACGGTTTCATGTTGCTTTGTANTTTTTCACAATGAATAGTCTTATATTCATGATTTACAATGGTCACAGAGCCATGGCTCAGAGGGCTGTACAGGATATGCTATAAAGTTTGCGTTTTGTGACCTACCTTGGCACATAGTTTGTACAGCAATGTCCCACACACAGTAGTAGAGGGAATGACGGATTTTGTGGTCGATCGGAAACTCGAAGCATCAACTCGCTTAACTTTTGAACAATTCCATAGTATAATGATGCACGTTTCCTCACAGATGTAAAGTCAATTCACTTTACGGTGTAATCTGTGAAGCGCTTTGAGACACTAAGAAGACGTGAAAAGCGCTATGTCAAATGCAAGGATTATTAAAATATTATTATTATTCAGCAGCACAGGCACAGAGGTCATCTCTGTTAAACATGTGTTCAGAACTCAAGACTGCTAACAGGACAGCACTTCCTCATCACTGGGTGTCAGTCGAGGCAATATCAGTTTGCAGTCCGATATATACACCATTAAATGCCATTCAGACATTGTGTCCAAATCCCAGTTCCACATTGTGTTTCGGCTTCAACCCACAGTATTCGGAATCAGATGCGAGAGAGAGAGCTACAAACTCAACCAGGCTGAAAGCGTCAACATATAATCATCTTTCCTTGAAGTATGACTGGAATCTATTGCCATTATGGACAAAAGAAGGCAAACTATATTTGTCGCTCAGGGTAAATGATGTTACAAAGATCACTTGCGGAGTGGAGAGGCAAATGTTCTCTGGGATGTGATGCCAGAGAGTAGGAGCAGATAGCCTGAAAGCCCAATGGTGAAATGGTGAGGGCAGGAGACACTAAACAGGCAAAGAGAGGAATCATATCATTTCGTCGGTTGTAAGGAGTTTGCACCAGTCGGTTGTGGCAAAAAGCTCAGAGGGCATTGAAGTTCAGGACCAGGCTGTGATCAGCCGATACCTGGTGACTCTGATCATCAGGGGATGTGATGGTGGCTTTGATCAGCCGGTGGCTATGATCAGCCCACTTAAATCCTGGACAATCTTGCTTGTATGAAAGGATTTCTTCAATAATGGTTGCAATCGGTTTCATCTCATTCTGCAGCCGTTTCCCCCACAACTTATTATATTTCTCTTCCAGATATTGAAGAACTGGTCTCTGATAAGGAAATGTGAATTAGTCTCAGCCATGTTTTCATGTTGGGGATGCAACGTCATAAATCATGTCTGGGTAATATCTACGATAATCTCTTTTTGTTGAAGAACACGGTATTTGGCGTGAATTGTTTGAAGTTAGTAGATTGCTTAACACAACATTCTTACACCTTTGTGACAAAAGTAAAACTGTTTGGTTCTCTTAATTTGCTCTTACATCTACAACATCAGCGTCGTTCCTCAAAGTTTCTAACGTAATAATCTGTGCCAATGCAGCTGGACGAAGTGAAAATTATTTCAGATATCGCCTTAGTTTAATTAATTGGCTTGAAATATTATGTGAAAGTTTCCACCCTTGCAGATTAAAAGTTGATCTTTCTTCTTCAAATACAGAAAGATCTGCTTCCCTTGTGGTCAACCGAGGTATTGCAGGCTGCAGACTGGCTTCCTTATCTGATTGTAGAGTTCTCAAAAGCTGACAAGACAGCAGGGCACTGAACTGTCGATTTACGTATATAACTCAAAACAAAATAAAGTTCTAGATAGGTAAAGCCCAAAGTACAAACATGTTGCTTTATGTGAAGTTATCCAAATAGTTACAGTATATTCTACTGTTTGTATATTATATTCTGTGGAGCAACTTGTGATGTCCCGAAGATGTGATAATGCAGCATATCAAATCCAAGCAATATTTATTATTATAGCTGGACCATGCCTGTTATACAGCGATCATGCTTGATATTCAGAAACCATTGACCTTCACTAGAATAGTGATTTCAACTTATTGCGCACACTGACAAATGAAGGCGAAAGGTGTTTTGGCGAATATTATCAATCCATTTGCAATGCTCAGGTTAACGTATAGAATGATATCTTAATCAGCATCACTGCTTCGTTATTATTGTTCGTGTAGGTCGTGGAAAATGTTAAAGCATCCCAGGCTAATGAGTGAATGTCACAAAATAAGTCATTTTTACTTGTAACAAGTATCGAGGGCCATGTGAGAGCAATGTTAAAATAATTTGTGTATATATTATAAACATTCGTACTAATGTGTTAATGCTCCACGGATTGGCAGAAGAGGCATAATATGTGTGATCAAGTATTTGTTTCACTTACTCAGATGAGTTACCTCTGGTGGGTAGACATGTGGGGTGTAAACCCGACACACATGTGAGCACATTGGCTTCTGAGGTTCAAATCCCACAGAGCTTTGATCTACAGTGTTTGAGAGGCCTGTAATTATAGCACTGAAACTCTCGTGTATATTCTGTTTGCTGTTACATATTTGTTCTTTGCTGTTACATTTTTGGCGTCATTTTGACAAAATTCTAACTGTAGTAAGAGTGGGTTTAGGTAAGTCGACCTAATGTGTTATTTTGGCCCTTATTTACTTCAACCGCACAGCCATGTCCTGCTTCAAAGCACCTGAAAGTCTGTGGTGTAGTCCGTGTCGACTAAAATGTTCTTTATCTCTCTGTATGATCTGCCTCAGCAGCTTCCGCTGCCAGAAGTCTTCATCCCTCAACATCCACTCCGTTCCCACCAACACCAACCCACCCCCCTCCTCCAACCCGCAATTCCCGTCTCTTTTTCTCTCTCTTTCACACACAAAAACACAGCTGATTTCAAGCACGAAACACTGTTATCGGCCACCAATTGCAAATGTATTAATTAGTCCGGGAATTACTTCAATTTCTACTTCCAGGTCCGTCAGCAAAGCACCAGAAACTCAATTTTAATGTTAATATAATCTTGGCTTTGCCTTTCGCTGTACACACATACATACAAACACATGTGTTATGGCAGGAAAGAAGCAGCAGCTCAGATGTTATCTGACAGCAGTTTCGAGTGTAACTCTTTAAACCCAAAGTGGCATCATAGAGCCTTAACAATGTATAGCTCAGAAGAAAGTCATTCATAATGTGTGTGAACAAATGATATTACACTTATTGACATGAGGTAGTTCTGGTGGGCAGAGATGTCGGGTATGAAGACAACTCAGATGTCAGCACATTGGCCTCTGAGGATTAAATCCCATAGTGACTTGTTCCTACAGCGTTTGAGAGACCTGTAATTACAGCACAGAAACGCTCAGGATGATCGTTTTGTTGTTACATAGTTTATTGTTTGCTGTTGCAATTACTGGTGTCATTGTTCACAATTCTAATATTAATAATATTTACATAACTTGATCTGATGTGTTAAATTGGCCGTTATTTACTTCGACTTCACATCCAGGTCCCGCTGCAAAGCACCAGGAAGTCTGTGGTGCAGCTCGTGTCGACTAAAATAATTTTTATCTCTCTGTATGATCTGCCTCTGCAGATTCCGCTGCCAGTCCTCCTCGTCAACATCAACCTACCAACTTTCCTCCACTCAACACCCCCCAAACACCCCCATCTCTCTCTCTCTCTCTCTCTCTCTCTCTCTCACAAACACACACAAACACACATACACATATTCGAACGCAGTGGATTTAATGAAGGAAAAGTACCGATTGCTCAGATGTTATTGGGCATCAGTTGTAAATGTAAATCTTTAGTCCTCAAAGATGCATCACAGTGTCTTATAAATTAAAGCACAAAAGAAAGTCATTTGTTGGACCTGTCTTTGGAAATAAAACGTACTTAGTCTAATTCACGTGCCTTTCCCTGTAACACTTGGGATTATTTCTAATTCACAAAGGAGAGACAAGATTAAACTGAGTTTATTTCAGAGAGTGGGAAATGAAATAATATTTTAAAAAATAAACTATATTCACCCTGAACTAGACAACCGCACAGCAGCACAGACATTGGAGCTCAGAGCCTCAGGAGGACACGGGTACCCAGGGCAGGGCAC